GGGCCAGGAGGCTTGGTGGCGGGCTGACTGGCAGCCAGAGCCAATAAGAAGTTTGCTGTGATGCGGATGTTCAACTCCTGTCGAGTGTAAACTGCCACCTGGATGGCAAAGAAACAACACATACAGTATATGACTAATGGGGAAAAAAAAAAAAAGATTATAGCCTCTTAATCCCTTACTGTTGCACTCGTCACTTGCAGTGGGCACCTGTTACATGCTGGATATACCGTGCTGCAAATGACAATGCAAAACAGAAATGTTTCTATTCACCTAACTCTGTTAATCATGACACTCCAGCAGACCTTTAACCACCCAACAACAATGTTGGACGCTCTGTGGTAACCTAGAGGCAAAATGCACCAATACTTTATGGTGCAGTTGTAAAACACATTATGCAAACAACCTGCCAAATACATTGAAAAACTATGCACAAGCATATTGTAGCTAACTGGTTCTGTCTGAAGCACAAAAGGTGCTCACAGTTCACTGCACTTTGTATGAAATTCACTGATAAATAAAAACTATTCATGGCATTTCATTGGAACGCATCCTCACATTACCTCCTAATGGTCTTGTCTGGTCTTCCCAGACAGACGGTCAGGGAACTTCAGCTCATTCAGAACGCTGCTAGTAGAGTTTTAACAAGAACAGGAGAACTAACCACATCACTCCTGTTCTTACACTGGCTACCAGTTACCTACAGAAGAGATTTTAAAGTGCTACTGCTAGTTTATAAATCACTTAATGATATGGGGCCAAAATACATGTCAAATCTCCTTGAAAAACAAACAAATCCAACAGGGCTGAGATCTCGAGGAAGTAGTCAGCTGGTAGAACCTCGGGTCAGAACCAAACAGGGTGAAGCTGCTTTTAGCTACTGTGATGCCCACAGATGGAACCTGCTTCCTGAACCTTAGATGTGCCCCAACTCTTCCACTTTCAAATCTCAACTAAAAACCCTACCATTTTCCTGTGCCTTTGATTGACTGGCTTCCACGCTGCACTTTCTGTCTACACTGTAACTGCTAGATTCCTGTTTCAGACCTTTTATTTTGTCTATTTGTTCTTATTCTCATTATCGTTTCATTTTCACTTAGTTTTAGCTGCTTTTAATGCTTATTGTTTTCCTTGCCTATATAAAGCACTTGCCTCCGTGTATGAAATGTGCTATATAAATAAAGCTGGCCTGCTTTATTTTTAGTCCCCAAAGCATTTGCACTTTACTGTATAAAGTATGCCATCGTACCCCTTGGCAACTTTTTGTTCTTAGTCATGTTGCCATCGTCTCACCGTCACATTTGTCCATATTTGAAAACTTAATAAAAAGTAAAAACCACTTTAATTCTGTACATATCATACTTTAATAAAATGTCTATTTTCAATCAATTCTTGTAATGTCTGTGATATTAGTAAAGTAGTACTACAATAGTTTATTTTTTTACGTCATGTTTTTCTGGGTAGTTCTGCTTGTTGTCTTGACCATGATGAAGTCCCAGTAAGGTCTAAACATTACCAGTTCAGGTAAAATGCAAGTTCAGGGGGCTATAGTCCAATTTGATGCCTTCAGATAAACAGCCACCCACATACAGACATGCATACACACCTTGAGAAGAAACTGTGGGTCATAGACAGAAATGTCCTTTGCCAGGTCTTTGATCCTGGTCCAAACACTCGTCTCTGAATCCCAGTCACTCTGGCCTGGAGATGTGCTCTTATTGACCAGGGAGCAACACACTGCATTCAGCAGGTGATACTAAACAGACAAGAAGACAAAGAGCGTGTGTTCCCAACTCAGAGGAGTTACAGTCACTTTAAATGACACAAAATAAGCACTCAAAAATACAATATGGTAGCTGTGATACAGAACAGGCTCAACATGTGAGGACAGCACCAAGAAAGATAAGATAATCCTTTATTGTCATTGTAACACGTACAACGAAATTTTAGAGTAACCTCCAGTTGGTACAGCAGAGAATATTTCTCTGAAATACTGTATATATGCGATGTAAAACAGGTCCTCATACCTTTTTATCCTTCAACTCCTCTTCAGTTTTTTCATTTTCTCTGTCAATCTCAGCAAATTCCTCCCATCCGATGGTCATAGTTTGTTCAAGTTCTTGGTTGTCCGACTCCATTTCCAGGACAGGTACTTCCACAGTCGAGCCAGCATCCTCCACCTCCCTCTCCTCTTCAGGAAAACCATCATCTTCCCCAGAATGCTGCTGATGCAGAAGAAGTCAGATTAAAAGAGTAATACTGCCAAGTATGATGCATCAAAAATTGTTTGTCAAAGATTTTAAATAAGAATGTATTAACAGTTGAGCTGAGAGAAATGATTAAAAAAGTAAAACAAATTAATAGTATTTCATGTACCATACTTGTGTCTTCAAAAGAGGGCTGCATCATTTCCAGTGTTTTCTCTGTGCCTTCACCCCCTCCATCATCCCTCTTCTGTTCTCCACCCAGACCATGAGGGATGAATGAAGGAGGAAGAGCAAAGCGATTGAGCAGAACAGAGCTGGGCAGGGATGTGGAAAGCAGAGACTCTTTAGAAACAGAAGAGGTCAAGGAAGAAGAGAAAAGAGGTGACTGGCTAGTTAGGAGCTTATTCTCAGTACTGAGGAGGGAAGTGGTGAGGGAAGGTGATAAGGAAGAGGCAGAGAGAAGGGAGGATGAGGTGGAACAGAGGCTGGAAGGCTGGAGAGAGGAGCAGGAGGGAGGTTGTGTTGCAAATTTTATGAGTGGAGAGCAGGCCTGGGACTTCAGCAAGGAGGTCTGACCTAAGAACTTATTCTCCAGACTTGGAGGAACATAGTTAGAAGACAGACTTCTCCCACATGTGGCCTGCTGCTGCTGCTCTCCTTGGGCCATGTTTTTCTGCTGCAAAGTCAACGCCTTCATCTCTATAGATAAACAACAGAGGGTCACATGTCATCCAAAGTTTAAGCCTTTCCTTTCAATCGCAGAGCTTCACAATCCTCGACTGCATTAATTATTCAGATAAGCAGTAGAGTAGCATTCCTTCAAGTGTTTGAATAAGCACTGTACTACTTTAAGGGCGTGTTGCTCAACAGAAGGTGTCAATAAAAAGTTTGGAAGTAGTTAGCACACAGCCCAACAATTTTTCAGTTTGAGCAGACACCAGGAGAACCATTAAGTTAAGGCAAAATGCTAAAATGTGTCAAGCACAATGAAATTCACTAATTCCCCATATACTTGGTGTTGGCTTATATCGCTGTAAACTGAATGTTTGGACTTGGGCTGCAGCCTAAAGCAAAATTAAAATACATAAATAAAATTTTAAAAAGTGGTGGCATTTTGTTGACAAAATGATTATGAAATGAATCACCAAAATAAATGGTTGCAACACTAAAAAGAGCAAGATGTTCTAGGTTGGTCCAGAGCTAAGTTTTTGGTTGCATCTCCTACTTTACCTCAGTAAATCATCAATTGAAATCTGTTCACATAAATGGCTGCTACACGACTGTGTGAGGTAAAAACTGGCATTTAAATATTAGAACGAAATTCAGTCACGACTATAATGACAAAACATGGATTTAACTGTTATAACCGAGACAAAACTCTAAACTAAACCTTAGTTAAGATATTTCCTACTAGTCTATTTCTTTGTAATGACTCAAGAGTTTACATAGGTGTGGTGGTTACCTATGTGCCACCAAACTAGACGGAAAAAACTCACCACAGAACCCACTTTAACTTCAGAAGCAAAGCAATGACTTTGAAGAAACGGTCCCTCTGATGTGTAATACTACCCTTTATAACACTGGGACGTTAGTGTCTGTTAAGCCTCATTAAGCTATATGAAGCTCTTACAGTACACTTCCTCATACAGCAACTGTTTCACTTCCTCATACAGCAGCTGCTTCACTTCCCAACATTTCTGATTGGTCATTATCTTATGTAGCATTTACCGTAATGACAAACATGTGGGCGCCTAGGTTCAACTCAGGTGTATGCTGTGGCTTCAAATGATCGAATCCAATAAAAAGACCAAATTAAACAATGTGTTAGTCGACTTCTCTTATCCCTCCGGGATAGCTAGATTTACCGCTGAGCACCAAGCCCACTAGTTCCAACCAAATAACACTTCACAAGCAGGATATGCAGTAAAGAGTTCTAAGTAAAAAAGTTCTCAAATAAGCTGGACACTACGGTATTTAGCGAATGTTAATCAAACGAGTAAATTGTGTAATTTTTGGGGACTATTTTCAGTCGTGAATTTGTACACATTTGACACATAGTGGATATTTTCGGGTAGACTGTTAGAATGACTAAAAATAAAATACAGTGCCCATGTTTACTGTATTGAAATAACATGTTATCCAGTGCAATTTGTGCCTCTTTGATATGTTTTATTGTTTGTAAGGGTACTCATCTATAGCATAGAGGAGTTAAGTTATTACTAGTCTTCGACTAAACAAAACCTGTCAGCGGGATCAATTTTTGGTTGGTTTTTGGTCTTTTTATGGGATTTATGAGACTTTTATGGGATTTGTTGACAATAAGAAAGATACTGAATACCACAAGACATAACTGAAAAAAACCTTAGAAAAAAAATACTATGACCTGGATGACTGAGAATCTGCACACACAAGACTTAACGGTTAAGGAAAAAAAATTATTCATGAAGGCAACAAACAAACAAACAATAATAAACAAACACAATTATAACAGCATTGTTTAATGTTCACAATTCTTTCAGCTATAGATAAATTGTGTTACTTGATACGGTCAACACAGATAAATGTTGCTTTTTGTTTATAAATGTTGATTTATGGCTAAACATTTGGAATAACAAAAAAATAATTCAAACAATTGAAATAAAATAATATCTGAAGGGACAAATCAAATAAGACTGAGAATCCCTAAGGAGAAACGAGTACCACTGTTTGAGGAAAATAGTCTTGTTTTAATTTTTTATTGGTTAAGGTTACAAAGTCCTCGCGTGACGTTACCGTAACTGTTTGAGTACGGCTTAAAAGAGGAAGCGAAAATGCTGTATTTCCGCTGCAGCAGCGAGAACGGGTATGTGAAAAAAGAAAAGAAAATGTGGATCGAAAGGATAAATTGAGGCCGGAGAAGGACCGTTGAACTACAAATATCGTATGCGTCGAGTCAGGTCGACAGGCAGGTCATATTGTTTAAAGTTCCCTATCGAATATTTCACAGTGTAAAGGGTCTTTTCGAGGTGAACTCGTCCTCTTCTCTGGTGGTTCGCTTTAAGGAAGCAGTAGCTTGGCTAGCCAGCTGAATAAGCTAGCCTGCTAGAGATGGGGACGAGAGCAAGTCGCCTACAGGAAGAGCCGCTTCCCTCTCCTTTCGGAAAAGACGGTACAAAGCGGGATTCCTATCGGCGACCCCGCTGCACCAGGCCCACCAGCCTCGTGGTAGACTTCTCCGGGAGTTTCGAGGACACGGAGGTCAACCGGAGCCGATCGGAGGAGGGCAGTGACTCGGATTTGGGGCAGCATGGGGCGAGTGCCGACGGTAGCCCCGCTGACCACCACAACATCCCCTCTAGCATTAGCCAGGCGTCACCTACGGACGACAACAACAGCGAGGGGAAACCGGAGGAAGACGGGAATATAAGTCCTGAAGCTCCCGTCGACGCGGAGCCGCAGTCTGGACAGGAGACAGGCCGCACGCCCTACCGCACTTTTTCCGAGCGGCTATCCGGGAATCGGCACTCTTCCACCCGCAGCGTCACCGCAAGGTCCGCCCGAGTCCGAAGCACACACCAACGTCCAGTGTCAGAGGCTTGGATCGGCCTCTATCGTGTTAACAACCGCCATGGCAGTAAGTCAGCGTTTTTACACATTGCATTAGTCTTTTTTATTTTGTTTTTAAATAAATGCCACTCAGTATTTGTCGCATATACGGCACTGGTTTCCATCAGTGATGGTTTGTACAGGAATGTGACATTTTAACAGAAGTTGGATGGAAATCATGATTGTGTTAGAGCTAGGCAATATCAGTAAATTTAAATTACGGAATATATCATCAAATGTTACGGAATATGTTTTGATGTTTTCATGAGACATGAGTGGGTGACTTGTGTTAATAAAAATAAATAAATAAAAGTAATATAGGTTTGATGGCCAGGTAGTAGGTAGGAGTATTCACTGTCAGCTTTCTTCAGCCGTGACTGTAACAAATTTATGAAAACTGTCAATTCACTCCAGAGCAGCCTAAGAAAATAAATATAGATATCAAGCCTTTTATCACACTATGAATTTTGTCCTAATGTCTACCAATGCAACCCTCAACCTGTCCACTCTGAAATGAAAATGGATTTTCTTAAAGAATTTACATTCCTGAACAGCTAATCTCTTTTCCTGTGCTTGCATGCTACGCTGACTAAAATGATCAGAGACCCTATTGTATGAAGCAGAGCTGTGGTGAGACAAGTTTTTTGCTTCAAGGCCTACTGACAGTGGGCGGCAGTGGTAAATTATGCAGCCTGCAAGATGAAAACATGAAGCAACCAACTACCTTTTCTTTAAAGTGCTTCAGAAAGGGAATATGAGTTTGCAGAGGAAGTGAAAGTGCACATTGGATAGTCAAATACACAGAGACGTGACATCTTGAGCCAAAACACAACAGTGTGGTGGGTTTCCGAGGCCAGCTCTCTATCGAGTGTAGTGAAATGGGTCACAATTTCACATGCCCGCTCATTGCTGGCAGCAGGTCCTAGATGATGGAGGAGAATGTAGGGCAGCAAGGCATCATTTCTGCCGGTTTGTCCTATCAACAGTTGGCTCAGTCACTGGTTTGTGTGGTGGCTCCAGTCAAATAAAGCTTCTACTATTTTGGGTCAGTTACACATGAGGTAATGTCATTCACACTATCTCCAGGATGACAATACAGCCTTCACACTGAGTGATTGTGTTTCAGTCCACTCTGTGGTTTGTCAAGCCAGGCTGTGTAAGTATATGTCTGAACAGTACTTGTGCTCAGTGTGATGTGAACATCATCTATTATTTATATCTCTCTTCTGTGACGTCTGCTCTGTGCAGATATCCGTTGCCCTTTCTGCTCAAAACCTTTCCCAGGGGGTCGGATTGAGGATCACCTGTTGAGCTGCCTCACATCTCCTCCCCTACCCTACAATAGTAAGTGTCACACCACAGAAATGTTCTGATGGCTGTCTTCTGAACATGCTGGAAACCACAACGGTTGCTCTGTGTTTGTGTTCACAGCGGATGTGCTCAGTAAAGACAGTGGCGAGTGTTCCATCTGTTTGGAGGATCTGGTACAGGGAGAGACCATCGCTAGGCTGGCTTGTCTCTGTGTCTACCATAAGAGGTAACAAACTTCAGTTGAAGCTTTATAATAAAATACTGGCAGACAAAACTGTTAAGAGAAGGGTAAAAATGCAAGGCAGTGCAGGTGAGATTAAATGCCTCCAGATTTGAAAAAGTGCTGTAATGGGGCTAAGGTTTTAGAAAATAAAGAGCAAAAATAATACTGCACTTTTTTTTTTTTTAAATGATGTGGTCTTAAAATCTTGAAAACCATGCCTGAGGGACCATCATCTGCAACAAATGTGATCAGTGAATGAGAATCTGTTCACTTTATGAAGCAAAAGAAAGCTTGTGCTTCTGTCCTCGTGACATCTTATTTTACAAGCGAGTGATGCAAATATTGCCAACAGTGCTGAGCATGCTTTGTAGACTTGCATGTGATTTGTAGTAAATGGACTGAAACGCGCATAAACACTGGTGGTCCTTTTTAACAGCTCCATGGTCATTTTGCTTATAGCAGTCTTTGCTAACAAACTGGCAGATCTGTGCTACGTTTAATTAGAAGTAAGGATAATGCATTTGTCTACAAGGTTGTGAAAGCTCTTTGGTTTTCCCAACTTCCAAGCAGCTATTTATTCTCTGTAATTTCAGTGCTGTATGAGAACAGACATGCTAAAACTTGAAATTTACCAAGATTAGGTCATCATCACAGTCAAGATCCTGCCTGCTCTTTCTTTTTTTTTTTGGAAGAAATGTCATCAGTATGTGTTCAAACGGTTGCAAGTGGAAACTGATTTTAAAATCCACAAACTTGACAACAAAAAAGGCAATGGTGATGGATAATCTCCACAAAGTTGAAACTTGGATTAAGTGGCAATGTTATCTTATCTCAGATAAAGTATCAGTACATGTCTGTCTTTCTCACATGGTCATGTAAGCTTTTAACACAGTTTGTAGGTGTGGCTGTTGGACAATGTAACTGACGTTTTGTTCCACCTGGTTGAGATTAGAAGTGTGCATCTATACTGGAACACCAACAAAAATGATTATATTTATGTAGAGCTGCAACTCAGAGCCCTTAAGAGAAGAGTTACGACATTGAGGGGTCAAAACAGTAGCAGGTCATGTGATTAATGTAATGTCAAATACTTCTACATAGCTGAGTCAGATCCGCTGTTTTCTGTAGGGAACAGCGGGATATATCAACAAATTAGGCCACTACCTTTAATGACTTGAACAGTCTTTCAAACTAATTCTGTGTTCTTCTGTTTATAGATAGCTCAGCTAGGTACCTAAACATGTTTTGACATACTGTATGTCACAAGTAGAATTATTGCTTTTGGTTTCAGCTTCTTACTTTAGAAGATAGTAGCCAAGTCAGTGTAACTTTATGGTAATGCTCCTAATTCAGCATTCCCATGATCTGGGGGGGAAAAGGTCATACAGTCACTGGAGATGTCGTCACTCTCCTTAATCCACTTTGGTAGTACTAGCCCATCACATTTCTCTCATCTTATCTCTGGTCCTGTTGATTTTAAGAAGTCAGCGAGCCCCTAAACTTACTCACACCCTGCTGCACTGATTACATTTAGTTCTGTTTCACACTGTCAGTAAGTGGATTAAACCTTGAAGGAGACTCTACTATCAAAAACCCACCATAGAGGTTTTGGCACATTAACATGAGTTAATCAAAATGCAACGTTTTGATGTCCCCTGCTCTTTCTCCCTGTAGCTGCATTGATTCCTGGTCTAAGGTGAAGCCCTGCTGCCCTGAACACCCCTTCAACTGATTCACGGGTCAGATGTATTCCGCACAATATCCAACCCGACTCAGGTACTTGTACGACTTGCTCTCTGACTCAGCAGTAGGTATAGCAATGCTATTGTTAAGCTCCTTTTAGACATGATATCCAGGAATTTGTGAGCTACATTTAACCATGTACCAGCTAGCAATGTTAAGTTCTTTTTCTTTATGCCCAATTTCATTGCCTGCCAGAAATATATGCCATGAGAGCTAGAGAGTGAGCAACGGTGGTCAAGCGAGCTATATAGTGAATGAAGAGAGGGAGACGTGTCAGCACGAACAAAGCAGTGAAACAGAGAAAATGTTGAGTGGTGTTCTGTAGCGCGGTCACCGTTGACAGTTACAGGCGATTTGACCACTTCAGTTCAGACATGTAGCCAGTTGGAACCTAGCCGGCTATTTGACTAGGTCCGACCAAGTAAAACTGCTAGTAACACTTTGCCGGCTTCGTGACTGGGGACTTTCTTCAGACATGAAATAGAAGGCAAATTCCTTGCTAGGGTTGAGGATATGTGTCTGAAAGCAGTTTTAAGAGAACACAAACGCATCATCCTTATCACACTTTTGACAAAATAACTAGAATCTAAAAAGTGTCACTGGAGTAGCTTATTGCTGTGAGTCTCCTGGACTACACTAGACTAATTAAACAATACACTAGGATAACTGTCATCTACACTCACCAGCCACATTATTAGGTTAAATTCACACATGGTTACTCATGCAAACACTACTGCATAGTTACAGCTGTGGACAAGGACTAGGCAGGACTACTGTGTGTCGGCTTTCAAGGGAATTATACTGGCATGATACTGAGATACTGTTATCTTTTTACAAAAATCTTAAAACAATCGCTGCAGTGTGCATTACTTTGCCTAAAAGCCTTTTTTTCTGCTCTTACAGGAGACTACACTGAATCCCAATAAAATCCCAATAAAATGTGTAATTGAACAAATAAAAGCTGACTCCTTCTCTGATGCAAACCTGTATTTGAGTGGAGAACAGACAATCCCAAGAGGAAGCTACAGTTAACGACACCCAATGCTCTCCATTTGGATCAGTCCTTTTGATCTTGGTCTCCGCCAACAAAAAAAAACAAACAAAAAAACAACCCACGGTTCTGTCTAAACTGCAGTCAAGACCCTTACTGGAACAGAAGCAGAGGGGTTCCTTTTGACTTGATTCTGCAGAACATAAAAAAAAGTCAAAACGTATCCTCCCAGAACAATGATGGAACTCGCCCCAGAGAAATTTCGGACCTGGGGAGGAACACGAAGAAAAGTTTTAACTGTGACTCTGAGTTCTTTCCTGTGTATTTGTCCTCCCTCTGAATGGGTTTGGTCATTTTATCAAGTATTTTGCAAAAAGAGTATTGTTCCATGTCACGCATCGGATGAATGTTTCCTTTCCTTGGCTCAACCCAAATGAACCAACCTCACACTGAAAGCGTGAACTGTTACCACGTAAACATGGCTTTATTCTGAACTAGCTGGAGGAGGAGGGCTTGTTTTTTGGTGAATGGGGGCTGCCGTTACTAAGTGTTTTCCATTTTTATTACCTGTATACATTTCAGGGGAAGTCTGGGGGCTAATTGTTTTATTATAATTATTTTTTGCTTGAGTAGGTCAGTTTCTTGTAGGTGTTTGGTTGGCACAGAGTTAAATGTGCTGCTACTTGGTGAGTGTTTAGGAAGGTTGTAGGTATTTCATAGGGCCAAAGTAGCGCTGGTGTTGGCACAAATTTCAGCACTTTTGTCCCTCAACGCTGGTCTGGTATAAGGTTGTGTTTGTATGTGTTTTGTAACTACAGTCACGCTGGCAAACATCCTGTTACATGTGGCATTGGTACGCAACATGGCGGCTCACCTGGTCCTGTTGGTCGCAGTTTAAATGTGGTTTGGGTCTGTGTTGGTTTTTTTTGTCCCCCTCCTCGTGGCAAAACTCTGGGGTGTAGTCCAGATTTTTGGACCGGACCCCCAGGCTACAGTTTTGCCATCTGGTTACGCATAAAGCGGGAGGGATAAAGGGACGAATGGATTGAGGGATGTATTTTTGGGGCATGTTTACACCATGTGGCATGCGCCTCTATCCCCATCACTGCAGGCTATGGACAGCTGATGGTTAAGTATTACATAACTAGCCCTCTCCCCTTTTTAAGAATTTTCGATGTTATCTTATGATTATAGGTAAATGTGTTAAATGGTTTTCCTTTGCCTTTTTGGTGTGTTGATTGCCTTTGCTGCCTAGTGAAAGGGTTCATGTGCATGTGGGTATTGTAGTGTTTTTAGGGCTGAACTGAGGTTGAAGCCCAACAGTAAGGCTGCTCAACAGATGCTGTCTGATACTGGTTGCGCACAGGCCAGAGGAAACTGGGAAAGAACTAAAACATAAATTGATTGCTTTGGCTGTCTGCTCCATGTGTTACAGTGGTATGGATCCGTGCAGAGGTCAGGCTGGTGCACAGGTTTTCTACTGGCTAGCTTGGCCACCCCAGCCTTGGTTTTATTTTTTTGTCTCATCCCTGGTGTTTTGCAGTCTGAGGTGCTATGACTCATCCTGCTCCTAGAGGGCAGCCCTGTGCATGTTTCTCAGTGTCTGTATTAGAGAATAGAAAAATGATGCCAAAAGTCTGTGTGTTGGAGGCATTATGTGAGAGTGTGGACCATGAGATGCATTGATCATTAGATGTTACAGTTGTTGTGGTTAAGTTATGATATTGTATTCTTTGGAGGGGTGTTTGGGGAGGGGTTGGTAGTGGTGGTTTGGTTGTCCTTTTTCTTTTTATGAAAGGCAATCTAAAACCCCACATTAACTCATTTACTTTCTTACCCCCTCTGAGCTGTGTGATGCAATACCTCAATTTTACCAATGCCAACTAAATGCTCTGTGTGCAAACCAGCTCCTCTACAACCGAAGATGGTATTTTGTATAGGAAAGTTCCTAAATCTTTGGTTTTGAATTGCAGGGCACCGATCCCCTGTGTGCTCTGTGCTTTGACACCAATGTTTTAGATGAGAATGCTTGTCAGAGTCACCACAGTGGTATCTGCATCCCCAAGATGGACAATCTGCCTTTACTCTGGTATAAAAACAAATTGAATTTTATTTATTAAAGTGTAAATATATAATGCAATTTAAGAAATGGCTTGGTCTTTGTCTGTTCAATATACTGTTTCTTAAGCTCCAATCTTTTGTATGTCTCAGACTGTTTTTATATGTATTTTTTACAATAAACATGTGTGAGATGTTTTGTGAACGTGTCAGTGATGGTTTGTGCCATTCAGTGAGACCTACACACTGTGCTGCAAACTTCTATAGTAATGACAGCACTTAAAGAACAGTTACTGGATGATATAGGCCCACAAACTACTTTTTAAAAGAAGTGTACCCCACTTTTTTATGTAGCTACTTTTAGGTGCTAAAATGGTAAAGATTTGTGCAGCACACCACAATGTTTGTGTAACCATGTTTTAATCAGCTCAAATATTTCAATACAATCCACATTTAACTTTTAAAATGGATTATTTTACATGTTTTCATCTCATCACACCTGGATTACTGCAAGAGCCTTTTCACCTGATTGATTCAAAAATCAATTTTTTGACTGCACTCTGTCCAGAACTCAGCTGCTAGGCTTTTATGCAGAACACGATGCGGTCGCATCACTCATGTTTTAGCTTCTCTGCACTGGCTCCCAGTATGTTTTAGAATTTATTTTTAAATGTTATTACTTTTAAGCCCCTGCATGGCCTCTCTTCTAGCTACATCTCTGACCTTTAAGTACTGTGTATGCCTTTTGTCTGTTCTAAGGGCCCAGCTGAACAATAAAGGGGACAAGGTGTTTACAGTCAGGGCCCCAAAGCTCTGGAATGCCTTGCCTGACAAAGTCAGGTGAGCTAAGTCAGTAACCGCTTCTTAAAATGTACTTTTAACCTCTAGAGTCCCTGCGTCCTCATATGAGGACCGCACATTTTGGGTTTCCTGCACCATATACTTTATTTCTCCTCAACTTAGACCTGTTGTCCTCGTATGTAGACACTTTTACCACCATCTTGTGGTAGGAAAAGCACATTACATGTGTTACTATAATTCCAAGATGGCGTCGATCTCAGCCAAGATGTTCTACAGCCGAGCCCGAAATAAAAATGGACAAGGTACAAAACCTAAAAACATTTCATGGTTGAAACCTGCTAATTTATGCTTTTTAATGTCTGTAGTTTGAGATGGTATATAAATTTGACATCTTTTAGCAATAGTAACAAGTTAGGAGGCTTCTAACTATGAAGTACTCGTTTGAGGACATTGGGACCATGTTAATACATTGTCTATGTAAAGGTGTAAAAGTAATGACACATGGCTTGGGAAGATTTGTGAAAAAAACGAACAGTTTCCACTAAATATAAATATAAACAGTTGTTGCATGTGGTACACATTAGTCTACA